ATATATATATATATATATAAATACTATATGAATCATATTGAAATTGCATACATGATTGTAAAACGGATATGCATTATATTATATTAATATTGTGTTTGTATTAATGCTGTCAAACGATTAATCACGATTACATTCAAAATTATAATATGCAAATCAGACATTACATGCTGGATGCAAATAAATCTATAACACTACTAATTTATTTATTTATTTATTTATCTATTTATTTATTTATTTATGGGCTGTAAAGTCAATTAATTGTGATTAATTGCATCCAAAATAAAAGTTTGTGTTTACATAATATAAGTGTGTGTACTGTGTGTACTGTGTATATTTATTATGTATATATAAATACACACACATGCATGTATATATTTAAGTTATGTTTATATGTTAAATATATTTATAAATAATATGAATTATATGAATACACATATGCTATAAATACATGTAAATATTTTCAAAATATATACATGCATGTGTGTGTCTTTATATATACATTAGCAAACAAATGTAAAATGATGCTGAAAATATAGCTTTGATCACAGGAATAAACTACATTTAAAAATATATTAAAATAGAAAACAGTTATTTGTTAAAATTGCACTAATATTTCACCCTGTTTTTTTTTTTTTACTGTATTTTATATCAAATAAATGCAGCCTTGGTAAGCATGAGAGACTTTTCCCCAAATTTCTGAATGGTAGTGAAGCATACACATACACATTTAAAATGATAATCAAAACAGATTTGAATAACGTGACTCACAGAATGTAAAATAACTTCATCACGCTCCAGTACGTGTCCTCCAGCTGTCCTGGTTTCTGCAGGCTTCCTTCAGCGTTTATGGACTTGAGAACTTTCTGAAGGAGCTCCAGATTAACCGGCATCTTCTGCTCAGAAAGAAACAACGTGGGTTAAAAAAACAAACTACGCACACATATATTATGTAAACAAAAACTTTTATTTTGGATGCGATTAATCGCTATTAATCATTTGACAGCACTAGTTTGTATGTATATTTGGGTATTATTTTACATTGATATTTTAAACACCAGAATGCCATCAAATTGGCAAGATATTAATGTAAAGTGAATGTAAACATAATACTGAAAAATATTTGAAGACTACAAGCCATTATTGTAATGTATTAATTATTTAAAAAAATATTTTATTAATTATTGTTTAAATAACCAACTTATTTTACATTACTAAAAAATAGCTATCAATTTGTATCAACATTAACAATATTTGCAAATAATTTTCACTGGAATTGATGCCAAATACTGATGTTTCAAGAGTGCTGACCATTAAATGGTGAAAAGTCTACCTTGGTGAGTTGGTCCACAACTTTCTGATGCAGCTCAGTTCCCTGGGCATCAGACATCAGGTTCTTCACATCTTTAGACTGTAGGGCCCTGAGCACCATGAGACATGCCTGACCCTGAAACAACCGGACAAAAAAACACACTTAAGACAGTACATTATAATTCAAGTATACAGTAACTGATTACACATCCAAAATATTCATGAGCTGCTCCAATACACGATAACACAGATGGATCAGCTTCATTTACCTGCTGATGTTCCCTCACTCCAGCAGTGATGTTCTCCACAGCCGTGTCCAACATGTTCACACACAACACCTTCAAACACAACACAAACCCATCAGTTACGGCCCATTAACTGCTTTCATGAGATAGAGACAACATTTTTACATTTTCAAGAAACCTTGAGCGTTTTTAAGTGCGTGACTCACCACTACAATGTCAGGACATTTATTTGAGGTTTAATTAACGTTATTAATACTTTTCCCAGTACTAATATAATTCCCAATAGTAATAGTGATGTTGGCCATATCAAAACTCACCAACATTGAGCTGTCTACCTTTATACAGAGCTGAACGATTAAAGGCACAATATGTAATTTTCGTCGCTAGAGGGCGCGTATTCAAAATAAACAAAGAATCAAAGGCGTAGTTTGATGACACCGTGACTGAGTGTGGAATCATGGGAGTTGTCCTCTTCATCCCCACAGCCGAAGCAATCCGATGGGACTCGGGCAGGAATCATGTTCATGGATGAGCTAATGATTTATTAACGTAGTAGAATGAAGCAGGGTGAGGCTGAAAGCCGTTGAAGCGAAACGAGCGTGACACACGGCTCGAAAGCAGCGGAGCTTTTATTATGCCACAGTCGACCGCTTCCGCTCCTTCCGGTCATGCGTATGTGGGAAAAAAAGCAGCGCTGTTTTATCATACTAGATACATTTGAAAGTTCTGTTATAATGCTACTCTGTGCGGTCGTCACCGGTCTAATAAAACGCTTAACATATTAAAGCGTCTTTGGTGTTTTCATGTTTTCTACAAAACAAAACCGGAAATCAAGGGTTATGACGTCATTAGCAGGCGACACAATGAAACTATAGACACGCTCCGTGTCACTAGTTAAAATTGCTTATTTCTCTGGATTTAAACATTCTTCGAAACATTTGGGATAATGTAAGTACACAAGTCAGCAAAATATATAACACTGTTCTAGTAGTTTTTGGATATTTTAATAATTTTTTACATATTGTGCCTTTAATCTAAATAAAATTTATATGGCAATATGTTATTACTAAATCATAAAAGCTGTGATTTATGTAACTAAGTGAGTCTGGGTTGCTTATTAAGTGCATTTTGGAAAACAAAATAAGCACATTAACTAATAAATATTAGTATTGTAATTTTACAGTTGTACTGAAAAATTATTAAATGTTAGTGTTATTAAAAACAATGAATTAATTTTAACATTAAAACTATTATTACAACAGTAATATTTCTTATTTTGTTTAATATTTTATTTAATAATAATAATAATAATTTATTTAATAATCATTATTATTATTATTTTGTAGTCATCTTAATACTCGTTCTCAGTTTGTTTACCTGGGTACTAATAGATCTCAGACTGCGCCTTTGTGTCAGGGTGTCCCTCAGGGGTCAGTTTTGGGACCTGTTCTATTTAGTATTTACATGGTGCCTCTTGGGCAGATTATTCAGACGTATGGCCTGGGCTATCATTGTTATGTGGACAATACCCAGATTTATATTAGCACTCAGCCTGATTCCACTTCTTCCTTTTTAACTCTAAATTGTTCTAAAACTGAAATTTTACTAATTGGCACTCCATCTAATGTTAATAAGTTCAGTCATTTTAAACTTTCAGTTGACAATACCCAAATATCTCCTTCTGCTCAGGTGTGTAATTTGGGTGTGATTTTAGATTTTTTTATTTTATTTTTTATTTTCACTTCAAAAACATAACTAAAGTTGCTTTTTTCCATCTTCGTAACATTGCTCGCATTAGACCCTTTCTTTCTAGGCCTGATGCTTGAGAGGCTTATTCAGGCCTTCATCACATCACGGCTCGATTATTGCAATTCTCTCTTTGGGGGTTTACCAGCAAGTTCTGTTAAGAGACTACAATATATTCAAAACTCAGCAGCACGGAGATCAGCCATACAAACAAGCACAACAAACCTGGATAACTTAAAATATTTTAGATTGCAATTGCCATCAGAAAAAAACTCAATTAGATTTTTTCCCCTAATCATTCAATACAATACCTTTTAAAATAGTACTGATATTATTCACTACTGAAGTTGTTTTGACTCACAGGGAATCTGCTGAAGAGGTCGATGAACATGGCTCCAGTGAGAGGGCTTTTCCTCTTCGTCAAGAAAGATGTCAATGCGTTTCTGAAGCAAGTCGTGACCCTCTCAACATCCACTTTACCCATAAGCCTTAGCTGTGATCAACAAACAAGTTACTTTAGTAACCTCAGTACTTCGAGATTAACAACAGTATGTCTATTGAAGATGGTAGTTTACCTCTGCCGGTGTTGACGGTGCGTTTGCTGAGTCCTGTTCACTCACAACGCCTCTTAACACCTTCAGCACATAGAGAGCAGCACTACAAAACAATAACAATGTGATTTAAAGAAACAAACACACCAAAAGTAGACACGCAATGAACATATACGAGAGTCTGTATACTACAGGTAGATCTTTTTGTCTTTTTTCCTGCAACATGGGATTAATAATTGCAGAAGTCCTCACCTGAAGTAGTACAGAGACACAGACGAGTCTGTCAGCTTCTGGGCTCGACCAATCAGACGCTCAAGCATTTCATGAAGCTCCGCCTCTCGTCCGTCGGTTTCCCTGCAGTAATACTTCGCACGACAGAGTCGATTCCTGCCAATCAGAGACCGAGCGACAAACTATGAGAATTAAACGCGATTAAATAAACAAAACTGTCTTTCTACATAAAGAAAAGGTCAAATTCGCAGCATGTTTTCTGTGAGCTGAATCTCAGCTGCAGTGTTTTGTTATTATCAACTAAAAATTTTAAGTTTCCTGTATTTAAAATAAAAAATTAAGATGAAAGACTAAAATGTTTTAGTACTAAAATTATTAAAAATAAAATTGACGAGCTACACTAAAATATTAAAAGATATAAAAGCTAATTAGAAATCTCAATACATACTTTAAAAGTACACAAATAACAGTAAAATAGCACTGCTCACCTGAAGATGTCTGCAGCCCTGCGCAGGAAGTCCTGCTCCTGTTGGCTGGTTTCGGAGCTCATCCCATTCTCGATCACGCTGAGCAGCGGTTCCACCATCCCAAGAACCAGAGCGCTGCTCCCCTGTTTGCTCAAGAACATCTCCACCATGTCCAGTACCTGACAACAACACACCAAATGACTTAAATCAGCCTCTGAGACACAAAACCTGCCAATTTTATTCCAAAATCCATTAGTAACTAATCCGTTTTAAGGAAGCCCTGAATAATTAGGGAGGTTTCAGATTCACCTATCCGCAATGTTTACGACGGAAAGTTTTACTGTGCAAACAGTCAAAAAGCACACCATGTATTTAGAAGAAATAATTAAAATATATACCAACAAGATTTTAAAATAGAAAAAAATATATTAAATAAATAATAAACAAATCAAAAAGTAAATAATCTAGTTAAAAAAAATAGTCTAAAAATAACTAGTTAACTAGATGAACAACTCAACCTCCCTAATTTATCTAGCACCATCACATATATTAATGTTAAAAAATAAAAAAATAAAAGTAATGACATAAAATATTATAAAGTAATATAAAAAGATTAAATACATATACACACAACACACACACACTGGAAGTTCTACTTCATTTGATACTTTACAATTAAATAATAAATAAATATTATTTTATTTTATCAAATAATTAGTTCAATATGAGAACAACTACAACTAACTTAAAACATTACATCTCTTCAAAACTTATAGATAATACTAGATAAAAATAAAAGAGAAACAGCCCCATACTTTAATCCTGAAGTCCCGAACGAGGACCTTTTCTTTGCGGAGTCTGTCCTTCTCGTCTTTTTTGGCCTGGATCTTTTTCTTCTGCTCCAGAAAGAGAGCAGCCAGGCTTCCGTCCAGCTTCATCATGCCCGCATCATCCAGTTCCTCTTCGTCACTGCCATCATCTTCAGTGGCCTAAACAAGAACAACAGAACATCAGCTGCTACGGATTCCCACTATGCGTTATCAAAGTTTTCTGGAAGTAAGTCTAAAATTATCCGGCACATTTCACACTGGAATGAAAGGAACATTCTAGGTTACATTTGTTTATGTAGTGAAAAGAAAGGAACATTCTAGGTTACATTTGTTTATGTAGTGAAAATTCATTTCTTCGTTCATACCAGAGCGTTCTGACCCTGCAGAACCTTCATCAAATCCAAACGGAATTTCTGATCCACCTCTTTTCCTTCCTCCATGGCTTCATCCTCATCACCATCATCAGAGGAGGAGGAATCAGAACCCTCTTCATCCTGATGAAATTTAAAAAGATAGAAGAGAAACATTTGAAATGTACAGAATTAGATGCAAAATCTAATCTTCATGATGGTCAGTCTTACCTCCTCCTCCTCATCATCTTGCTTGTCCTCCTCGTTACGTTTTCTCTTTTTCTCTTTCTCCTTCTCATCAGTCACCATAACGCCGCTTTCATCCTCATCCTTGTTGGGGTCTAGAACCTAAAAATCAATCAAAACACATCCTATTTACTTTCTTAATATATTATCTGAGTGTTATACTACACAAATAATCACATTTACATGATTTAACTAGATGAACAACTCAACCTCCCTAATTTATCTAGCACCATCACATATATTAATGTTAAAAAATAAAAAAATAAAAGTAATGACATAAAATATTATAAAGTAATATAAAAAGATTAAATACATATACACACAACACACACACACTGGAAGTTCTACTTCATTTGATACTTTACAATTAAATAATAAATAAATATTATTTTATTTTATCAAATAATTAGTTCAATATGAGAACAACTACAACTAACTTAAAACATTACATCTCTTCAAAACTTATAGATAATACTAGATAAAAATAAAAGAGAAACAGCCCCATACTTTAATCCTGAAGTCCCGAACGAGGACCTTTTCTTTGCGGAGTCTGTCCTTCTCGTCTTTTTTGGCCTGGATCTTTTTCTTCTGCTCCAGAAAGAGAGCAGCCAGGCTTCCGTCCAGCTTCATCATGCCCGCATCATCCAGTTCCTCTTCGTCACTGCCATCATCTTCAGTGGCCTAAACAAGAACAACAGAACATCAGCTGCTACGGATTCCCACTATGCGTTATCAAAGTTTTCTGGAAGTAAGTCTCAAATTATCCGGCACATTTCACACTGGAATGAAAGGAACATTCTAGGTTACATTTGTTTATGTAGTGAAAATTCATTTCTTCGTTCATACCAGAGCGTTCTGACCCTGCAGAACCTTCATCAAATCCAAACGGAATTTCTGATCCACCTCTTTTCCTTCCTCCATGGCTTCATCCTCATCACCATCATCAGAGGAGGAGGAATCAGAACCCTCTTCATCCTGATGAAATTTAAAAAGATAGAAGAGAAACATTTGAAATGTACAGAATTAGATGCAAAATCTAATCTTCATGATGGTCAGTCTTACCTCCTCCTCCTCATCATCTTGCTTGTCCTCCTCGTTACGTTTTCTCTTTTTCTCTTTCTCCTTCTCATCAGTCACCATAACGCCGCTTTCATCCTCATCCTTGTTGGGGTCTAGAACCTAAAAATCAATCAAAACAGATCCTATTTACTTTCTTAATATATTATCTGAGTCTTATACTACACAAATAATCACATTTACATGATTTCAAAGGATTTTTTTTTTTTTAAATACAGATCATGTAATGACTTTCTCTGATTTAATCACACCTGTGTGGACTGAAAAACAAAATGTAGATTTAATGAATTATATCTCAGCCTAACATCCACGATCCAGTCAAATCCTGATCAAATAAAACCTCGCTCTACATTATTTCCTCTAGAATATTCAGTTTAGCTCTGAAATACAATTTGAGTTGAATTACTGAAATAAATGAACTTTTCCACGACATTCTAATTTATTGAGATGCACCTGTATATATACACATACGTATATATACATATATATATATATATATTAGACTGAACTAAGTTTAAGTTAAAGAACTAAAACAAATAAATATAAACAAATAAATATAAATGAATGCTAAACAGAAATTTATTCAAATGCACATTCACTAAAACAAACAAAATTTTTAAAATAAAACCTAAAAATATAAGTATAAGCTCATTCAAAATATTATCATAATAGTATGTAAATAATACTAAAATAGCACTGTTAGTTAGTCAGCAGTCTCTTACGTTCAGGATGGAGCTGAGCGCTTCTTGGGTGAGGTGAGGACAGATACGGCTAAACACAGCTTTACACACACTGCGAATGAGACGACTGGGCTGAGACAGGAGCGATAGCAGGATCTCAACAACCACCTCCACCCAGTGTGGCTCCTCATTACAGCTCTCGCCATCTGTGTCACACACACACAAACACACGCACACACACACACACACACGCGCGCACACACGCAAACACACACCAACACACGCACAAACACATGCACACACACATAACATCATCTAGCAGGAATAACAGACTACAAATCAAAAAACATTAAATCCATTAACTGCACTGAACTGCTCCAACTTACTCGCTTTCTTCTTTTTAGATTTCTTAGCCTGAGCTTTCTCCACGCAGGTCCGCAAATCATTCAACAGCTCCAAACTTTCATCTGGAGCCTGGAGCGAGGAAAGAAAAACAACATTTATGTTAAGATCACAAAATAAAAGTCTTCAGCACTTTCTGAAATTATTTCATCAATCATATTTTATTTGGAATAGGAATGTAAAGCACATAATTTTTTCTTGTACTTTATTTCCAACAACCATTTTCAAAGAGCAAAATGAACAGGCATTAAAACAAAATCCTCCCCATGATGCACAACTAAAAAATATATTACATACACAAACAAATAATACAGTGGCTGCAAAAATGATTCAAGCTGGACCTCACCAATTTATTTTATTTTAAAATAAATTATTAATAATAATTTATAATATTAACAACAAGTAGTTTATTCTATTTTTTTTCATGCATTTGGTAGATCTTGCTTTTATCCAAAGCAACTTGCATTGCAATCAAAGTACACATTTTATTGGTGCATGCATTCCCTGGGAATCGAACCCATGATAACCCTGGTGTTTCTAGCACCTGCTCTACTTTAAGAGCTTCAGGAGATCTGGTCATTCATTTGATTACTTCTGCTTTTTATAAAAAAAATAAAATAAATAAATTTAAAAAAATCACTAGAAGAATCAAACCTTGAACATCTGAATCCCAACGAGAAGGAAGAGGTGCTGAAATGCCGTGTGTTCAGGTGAAGACGACTTCTTTGCTTTTTTCCTCAAGGCCTCCACTGATTCCAGCATACTAAACACACAAAACACAAAATCACTAAAAAGAGCATTTGAGCTGCAGTCCGTCTACCCTCACCTTTCTTATTTACATTTAAAAGGTCATAATGTAGAAAACAGTAGTGTTTCGCAGGATGCGTCACCTGTCCCAGCCCTGCCTCTGCTCTGGACTCAGGGTCTGAACGCTCTGGACGTGTTTGCTCTGGTTGAGCAGCGTGGTGGCGTACTGGACCACACAGTAGATCCACATGCTTCCATCAGCTTTCACACCCAGAATCCTCCTGGAGTTCAGCCTCTCCGCCTCAGGAGAATCTCCTAGCACAGCCATCGAGTTCAAGCCCTGCAGAAGACTGGAGGAGATGAAGTATATACTTCATTTAATTATATTTATTATTAATGACTTGTCATTTAATAACTTAACTTGTTTCATTCAAATTAATTCAAATCATTTATGTCAGATTACATTTTTCATTTAATTTACAAAATTTGACTGATAAGTTTAATTGACCCGTAGAAGGCTGAAGAGATAGTGGCTCGTGTTTGTTGATCTATGGGCACTGAGAGAGCCTGCACCGTCTCAGGGATTTCTGGAGTGGGTTTCTTCACATCAAAGAAGGCGTGGAAGAAAATAAACCTACAGAAGAAGGATAAAGCATCACAATACCATCGATACATATCTCAGAGGAGTTGCCACAGGAGTCACGTAGAGACCCTTAATGAGATCTAAAGATGAGTTACCTAGCCATTTTCATGACAAGACCCTCCTCTTTCTTAATCTGATGGTTTTCCACAATGAAAGAGAGGCGTTGAACGATCCATTTACGAAACCTGGCAACACAGCTGTCACTCCTACAACAAGAAATAAATCAGAATAAATATGAAATTGGCATGAGAGGGAAAATGCCTGCAGATGGCACATTAACACTGTAATCACATTTGTAATTTGTATAAATTATTAATTACTAAACAAATTACAAATGATTTGAATTACAAATTAATCTTGTTAATCTCGTCATATAATTTAATGAAAACGTATTTATATATAAAAAATAGATTTTATGTTGTATTATTGTTTGATATAAAATAATTCTTAATAACATTCATTTATATATTGTTACTACTACTACTACAACAACTATATATTTTCAAAATATATGCTGTATGTGCGTGTCTTTATATATACGTAATAAATATACACAGTACACACACATATATTATGTAAACAAAAACTTTTATTTTGATTAATCGCGATTAATCGTTTGACAGCACTAATGTATATATTATTATTCTTATAATTATTATGAATGCTACTACTAATAGTTAATATTAATGTATATATTAATATCTAAATATTATTATTACCATTATTAGTGCACTGTATATAATAATTAATAATAGCAACAATTTTTATTTTTATATAATAGTAATATACATTTTTATAGACAAATTGTTGTTATTATCATTACTGCACCATCATATGGTTTTACTCCAGCAAAAAGTTGAATACTTTATTTGTTTTAAACCTCTATTCTTAATGATTTTCAAACAGTCAATTCTTGGAAAATCCGGTGTGAACTCACTCTACTTCAGACTCCTGGTTTCCTTTCTGTCTGCGGGTGCTGAAGTCCAGGCATTTCTCCAGCTGGGGCTTGCAGAAGGCCTTCATCAGCCACTCCACATACTGCTGCAGCGCACACAGATCCATGTGCTCCAGAACCTTCCAGGAGGACGGGACCACGGGGTAGCCCTGGTTAGTGAGCTGAGTGAAGCAGAGCGCCACGACGAGCTGTTTGTCAGCATCAGGGCAGCCCTGCATGAACTCACTCACGTACTTCTCCATTTCTGGAGCAAACTTGAATCGGTATGCCAGCTGACAGGAGACACGCACAATAAACATACATTATTATGGCACAGGCTACATTCAGAATGCAATACTAGTACTATATGTACATGTATAAATGTTAAAGAGTATGCAATGCCAATGTAATTTATCTCACTACTTTTAAGTCTAGTGATCTGTAATTTACTGCAGAATTAAATGGTGGTTGCATTTGTGTTTTTGTATTTTCAAATTAAAAAATAATGAATCCAACATTGACATCCATCACATGAAACACACACTAGGGCTGTCAAAATGACTGAAAAACTAAATTCGAATTTTCTACTTAAATATGATCAAAATTCGAATTATATTCAAATTTAAAAGGCATAATTTCAGTTAGGGGGAAAAAAGCTTTTGGCTTCTCTCCTGAGGCCACAAGAGGGCGCATCGAGCAAAATATTATGCACGTTTCTTCAGAGCGTAATAAAATAACATGAAAAAAAAAGTGCATAATGTTTAAAATAATGTTTATAAACCATATATAATTAATAAAGTTGCTTAAACAATTCGGGAAAAAAAAAACAGCACCATGCATGTATGTATAGTTTAATACAAAGGCACAAAGAGTACTTTTTTATCATTTAAAAACATGATGCAGTAGGATGGGGAAAAACCGCCATAAAGTCTTGAGACATGTTTTTTTAAAAGTTGAACTTGCATTAATTTTGCAAGTAATTTTTGCAATTAATTAAAAACATGGCTTTCTAAACATGCCGCTCTCTGCGAGACATGAGTGCAACGCTGATAGATGTCCCGCTAGAAAATGTGATAAATATGCGTTCTGTGTGAACGGCTTGGTTTCAGTTTCGTCGTAAACAACATCTTCAACACACTGATGCTCTCGTTTTCTGCTATATATTGAATGAACAACGTAGCAGCGCCGCATCTAGTGGGTTCAACTGGATAGGCTAACAAAAGCATTAAAATGCAATCAATGACACATACATCGTCATCGCAGACCTTAAATTGGATTTTTAAATGTGGATTATTTTTTTTTAATTCCACGAATATTCGAAATATTTTTTTTGACAGCCCTAACACACACATCACCAAACATAAAGACAGACCTGTGCGGACAGCATGTGTTGACCGTAGTATCTCATCACATCACCGGACAGGACAAACTCGAGCTCAGGGACTGACAGCAGCGGCAGAGATGCTCCCAACAACCGGAAACCTAAATAACTGATCATAAAGAAAGAAAAAAGCATGCGTTTTGGTCATCATATTCTAATTGGTATTGAAACCATTCTTAAATTGAAATCAGTAAAAATGTTCACATGATTCCATTTGAACTTACATTTATTTTCAACACAAAAAATAAAATATGAAATTCAATCAAATTAAATAACAATTTAATAATGTGCTTTTGACATTTTATCGAAATATGTTTTCTATTATAAAATACATTTAAAAAATTAAATTAAACTAAAACTTAACTAAAAAAAATTAATGAAATACATTTTAATAATATAATATATTTTAAATAAATAAACTATTTGAAACTTAAAGTAAAACTAAATAAATAAAACCCTGAATAAATAATAATAATAAAAAATAATCAAATGCAGTGAAGTAATAACCAGGCGTACCCATATCTGGCTGAGTATTAGACAGATAAATTAGCAGGTTAAGGTTTGGCTACACATGTTAAACTCACTGTGTGGGACCAGGCATCTCTGACAGCATGCCTTTGATAATGGCTTCATTCCAGAACATCTCGAAGTTGTCCTCCCGCAGAGACGCCTGTAACAAGTCAAACGCGACTGGGGGCAGAATGTTGTCCTTCTTCACAGAGCGAGCGGCCGTCTTTAAAACCTCCACCAGCCTGGGAGTACACATCAAAAGAGTTAATAAAACAATGAAGCACACAAAATATGAGCATGTTTTTAACCTACCACGTGTAAAACTACACTTTCAAATGAAGTCAACACAATAAATATGCAACTGAAAAAAAGTAATCATACTAACATGAGAATGTTGTCTAAAACAACATTTAGTATTTTTTCAAATAAAATCAACATGATAAGAAAATAAACATTTATTACATTGAAAGAGTTAATAAAACAATGAAGCACACAAAATATGAGCATGTTTTTAACCTACCACGTGTAAAACTACACTTTCAAATGAAGTCAACACAATAAATATGCAACTGAAAAAAAGTAATCATACTAACATGAGAATGTTGTCTAAAACAACATTTAGTATTTTTTCAAATAAAATCAACATAAGAAAATAAACATTTATTACATTATCATTATAAAATTAATAATTACATAGATTATTTCATATTATGAATACATTTTTTACATATTTCCATACATAATTTATAAATCATTTTAAAATTTACAATAAATTTGACATAAAATAAGTAATTAAAATAAATTGAAGTAGATACATGCATACAATTTCATAATTAAACAACTATTTTAGCATATATAAGAATGTCTGAAAACAAAGACAAAACATACAGAGTAAGAAAGCAGAAAAGGGAGTCAGACACACTCACTTTGGCATGTTCTCTTTAGTAATGACTGCTGTGGTTCCTAATAGTTTCTTGAGTTTTTTGGGTTTGAGCGCAGAGGGGAACTTCTGCATGGTCACCAGGAGGAGCTCGAGCTGCTCGGGAGTGTTGAGGGCAGAGGTCAGGTCAGACTGTAGGGCGCTCAGGAGCACCTCTTCAAACACCTCCTTCGACGTCTATACAACAAAACACATGAATGAAACATTATAGAAACGAGCGACGGTAAAAGATCATCAACACAAAGTAGAGTTTATCTAAATCCCAAACTCTAGTAATCCGTGTCACACGATCCTTCAGAAATCATGCTGATTTACTGCTCAAGAAACATTTCTTCCTCTTATTATTATTATTATATAATGTTATACAATCTTATTATACAGTGTTGAAAATAGTTGTGCTGCTTAATATTTTATGGAAACCACAATACACTACCCATTCAAAGGATCCTGGGAAAAAATGCTCGACATTGACAATAAGATGATCCATTCATAAAAAAATGAAACTGAAAAGAAAATAGAATAATATCTGAAAGATCATGTGACACTGAGGACTGACACGGAATATATTCAAATAGAAAACAGCTATTTTAAATTGTAATAATATGTCACAATATTACTGTTTTTACCTCATTTAAGGTCAAGTAAATGGTGAGCATAAGAGACTTCTTACAAATACATAAAAAAAATTTAATTATTCCAAACTTTTTACTGGTAGTGTACATTCATTCATGTAATATAATAAATATAATAGTAGTTATTATGATTACTACTACATTAATCAATATATACTAGTGCTGTCAAACGATTAATCGCGATTAATCGCATCCAAAATAAAGTTTTTGTTTACCTAATATAAACACAGTGTGTACTGTGTATATTTATTATGTATATATAAATACACACTCGTACAGTATATATTTTGAAAATATTTACATGTATATATTTATATAATTTATATAAATATATTTAATATACAAATTAGTGCTGTCAAACTATTAATCGCGATTAATCCAAAATAGCACCAAATCACATCCAAAATAAAAATGTTTGTTTACATAATATAGGCTGTGTGTGTGTACTGTGTATATTTATTATGTATATATAACGACACACACATACAGCATATATTTTGAAAATATTTACATGTATATATTTATATTCATATAAAGTATATAATATATAAATATATTTAATATATAAACATAACATATTTTTCTTAAATATATATCTGCATGTGTGTGTATTTATATATCCATAATAAATATACACAGTACAGACATATATTATGTAAACAAAAACTTTTATTTCGGATGCAATTAATCGCGATTAATCGTTTGACAGCACTAATACAAATATAACATTTTTCTTAAATATATACAAGCATGTGTGTGTATTTATATATACATAATTAATTTACACAGTACACACACATATTATGTAAACAAAAACTTATTTTGGATGCGATTAATCGTTTGACAGCACTAATATATACATGTTATTGTTATACATATTATTTGTAATGCTACTCGAGCACCTCTTCAGACACCTCTTTCAATGTCTATACCACAAAATTAAAACAGGAATAACACATTAGTAATCACCTCTGACAGGATGTCGACCATGGTTTTTCTGGGCAGGTCTCTCAGGTGTTCTCTGTACCGGGACAGACTCTGCAGGAGCTGCACACACTCCAACATGACCTGAGGCTCCTGAGAAACAACATGCAGCAAAAGATCATCAGCACAAATCAGTTTGTCTAAATCCCAAATAATATCCAAGATAATTAGTGCTTCCAAAAACTATTTCCAGCTATTTTTGCCCACATAAAAGCAACAACGCAACACTGTGAATCTGATTCTCTTACCTTATGCAGACGTGTGGACTGAGACAGGGCGAGCACCGCGAAGAAATTCCCAAACGCTGCATTTCTGATGAATTTCTGTCAAAAGAATTGAAGCATCACATGAAAAACCTATGAGCATCATGATTATGACAGAACGATGATTAGGATAATAACGTATTAAGGCCACATCAGGGTTCCATGTGAAATCCTCACCTTTTTGGCTGTCTGGAGGTTGTGCTTTTCTTTGACGCTGTCTAGTGTGGATTTCAGTGAGATCTCCTCAAATACACTCAGCAGCTTCATACAGAAACAAATAGTAATCAAACGCATATCTAATAACTGCTACAAAAAGATGTGAAGATACAGCTTGTCTGGTTAAAATTACCTGAGCGAGCGCAACGCTGTATCCTGACCGAGCGTCTTCTCTTGTGTGAGAAAGACCGTCCACTAGTCTCTTCAGTGAATACTTCAACTCATCCGGCTAGATGAAAAACATAAACATAAAGTAAGCAAACATACATTTCTGACATGAATGTGAATCCACTGACTATCATACAAGGTCACATCTTTCATGCTTGATTCTTCAATTAACGGCATGCATTGGAAATCAGTTGCTATGGTGGTCTCTCTTTGGTAATGGCAAATTAACTGAAAATGTTATTTCTACTATTCAATACAGTTCATAGGAAAATACATGATAGAATAGATTAGAGCTATTTATTAATATACATATTAGTAAAATATAATTAAAAGTTATTCAAACTTAAAATTTTAACTTTTTTTTTCTCTCATCCTGTGGACAGAAAAGTTTCCATATCTGAAGAACTCATATAACATGATAGAATAGATTAGAGCTATTTATTAATATATATATATTAGTAAAACAATTAAAAGTTACTCAATTTAAATTCAAACTTTTTTTTTCTCTCATCCTGTGGACAGAAAAGTTTCCATATCTGAAGAACTCATATAACATGATAGAAAAGATTAGAGCTATTTATTAATATATATATATTAGTAAAACAATTAAAAGTTACTCAATTTAAATTCAAACTTTTTTTTTCTCTCATCCTGTGGACAGAAAAGTTTCCATATCTGAAGAACTCATATAACATGATAGAAAAGATTAGAGCTATTTATTAATATATATATATTAGTAAAACATAATTAAAAGTTATTCAAACTTAAAATTCGAACTTTTTTTCTCTCATCCTGTGGACAGAAAAGTTTCTATATCTGAAGAACTCGTATAACGTTACAGTACAACAGCTCCATTCAACCCACGTATTTACATCAACAACCAAAGCCGAACGGAGCACTGTTCAGATAATGACAGCTTATTACATCGGGTGATAAAACAGCATTAATAACTATAACAACCAACTCCGGCCAAGAATATTGATCAACAGTGAAAAGCCGATATTAAAATGATCAGAGCTGACTCTCCATACCTTCTCGCTCTGCTTCAAGTGTTCGATCAAGTCCTCTATCGCTTTGAGGCGGATTTCTCGCTCGGGTTTCGCGATGTCCCAGAAGTAATCCAGGAACTGTCGGTTCTGTTTGAGAATGCCTTTAGCATCGGTGACTTTGGGTCTCACGGTGCTGTCCTCGAGCTCTCCCATGTTTGTCTGCATCACCGCAACCATGAGAGCGTGGCGCACAGACACGTGGGGGAATCGCGAGGACGTTTTCTTACAGGGTTACTTCCGCGCTGTGATTTCAAAATAAAAGTCTCAACCCATAAACTGAACTGCGAAAGTTTAATCAAAGTTGCTTCCAAGGAAATTCTTGAGCCCCAAGAGGGGGTTCAATCTTCAACTGGCTGGCAGGAGCCGCCACTGACAGGTCACGTGACCTGTCAGTGGCGGCTCCTGCCAGCCAGTTGAAGATTGAACCCCTACTGGAATTCTGTTAGGCGCCCATATTAATTGACATTTACCGATTATTTTATAATTTAGCAGGGTGTTTTTGTTCTTTTATGGGCAGCCTTTGTACTGGGAGCTAATCACAGATATTATGGTCTAACGTTATACTTGTCGTTGAGGGAGAGCTTTCAGAAAACGTAAAACTAACTTGATGAACAACAAAATTGGACGCCTTAAACTATCAAACTCTTTAAACAACAGAATATTTATTGAGCTGTTCAAAGACCCTTGTGAACACATACTCACAGGTAAGTGATAGAAATATGAGAGAGATTTTCCTGAACAGTTTCTAATGGAAGTGGCCAAGTTTAAGGGTTGTTAAACTGGAAGAGGTTGAACAGAATTCCCAGGTTTAAGTTTATCTTAAACTACTTTGGTTGTTTTCTAGATTAAAATGGCATCAGAATTGTATTAATTTGTTGTTTAATTGGTTGCGAGGCATGTTTGGTGTTTCTGTCATTTTTCTTTTTCACACAACTAAGTTAACGTTAGTCCTGTCGCGATAACTTTTTGTTTTATTGCCCCAGAAATCATTGCGATATTATTTTCATTTTAAGACCATTTTATGCCACTTAATATATAATCATAAATATAACAGCATAATAATGCAAGAAGGCCTAGACACTTTCAAATTAATTACATTAAGTATATAAAAAAAAAACTTGAATAAATAGTAAATAAACATTTTCTAACAAAAAGTGCAAAGTAACAAGTAGAAAAAAAGAAAAATGCACAAAGATTTTGTCTGGAGATTTTTCCATCTACAGATTTTTCTCTGACCTTTTCTCTGTAAATAAAGGGTGCACTGTATTGGTGAAAAACACAATCCCTATTTAGCAGTCAGATGTCCGTATGCACAAACTGCTGCAAAAGACACAGTTGCAAGTGGAATGCAAAAAACATGGTGACATTAATTTTTAAGTAAATATAATGGGCGATATATTGCATTACCAAAAATTATTGAGGTCATGTACATATATTGTTCGATAAGTCGATATATTGATTATTGCGACAGGCCTACACACAGCATAAATACTGAACACAAACCTGCTATACTGCTGGTGAAAATCTACATAAAAATGTAGCAAGACGAGACTAAAATTATATTTGGTTATACAACTTCTGTATCTCAGTGTGTTTACTTTGTGGACGTTTTTTTAGTGATGTCTGTGGGAAAAGAAAATCATTTCTTTTAATCTAAAGAGCAGTTCAGATTGATTAGTAAATTTAATGAGTCCCAGGAAATTTAATGTTTCTCAGGAAATTGTTTCACCACAAAATAGAGATAAAATAAGAATAATATGGATACCTATTGATTAAATACACATAAACTGATTTGATTCTAAGTTGAAGTTTAAAAAAGACCACTTTAACTTCACTTTCTGTTAGGAAATAGTTCATTTAAATCTGAGTGGCCAAAAATATTAAGCAAATGTGCTTTGCTAGTTGATTCTTTTAAATCCATGTATCATAATTTGTACTGTGAAAAAGGCTTTGAAGAAGGGAAGAGCAATGACAGAATAATCACTAACATCACCAAAAATAAGAGAAACCTGTAGACAAATTGTAACTGAACCTCCATGTAAGCCAATTTTTTTTTAAAAGCACATGAATTACTTTTTATGTAAATTATTATTTAAAACCTGCTCATTATTTTATTTTCTTTGTAAAAAGGCACAGTGCAAATTTGTCTTTATATCACATTTCAAGCATTTGAGCAGAAACATTTAGATCATATGGTTTTTAATATCATGCAAACATAAACTCAGTCATCATTTATCGTCATCATTTCTCTTTCCAGACATGTCATCCTCTAGTGGTCTACTGACTGAAGAGCTTCAGTGCTCTATATGTCTGGATGTGTTCACTGATCCAGTCAGCACTCCATGTGGACACAACTTCTGCAAGACCTGTCTGAATAAGTGCTGGGACAACAGCCAGACCAGCAGCTGTCCTTACTGTAAAGAAACATTCAACCAAAGACCTGATCTCAAGATTAATACCACACTCCGAGAGGTTGTAGATCACTATAAGAAGAAAACACCTGAGAAAAAACCTGAAGTTCTGTGTGACATCTGTGAGGAAAGAAAGCTGAAAGCCCTAAAGTCATGTGTGGTGTGTCAGAGCTCTTACTGTGAAACTCATCTGGAGCGTCATTTGAGAGTGGCAGGTTTAAAGAGACACAAACGGATGGAGCCTGTGAGTAATCTGGAGGACTATATATGTCAGACACATGAGAGACCTCTGGAGCTGTTCTGTAGAGATGATCAGACATGTGTGTGTCCGATGTGTGCTCTGACAGACCACAAGAACCACAACACTGTTCCTCTAGAAGAGGAGAGTGAAGAGAAGGTAGAAGTTACTAATAAACTGCTTTTAAACTGCAAAATATAATGACAAATCAATTTCTTTAATCTTGTAAAAAGAGTGTTCATTATGAAAAGATATTGTTTTCTCAGAAGACCGTAAATCTCTGTTATGATAAATGTTTCTGTGTCTGTAGACTCAACTGATGAAGACACAGAAAGACATGCAGCAGATAATCCAGGAGAGAATCAAGAAGATTCAAGACATTAAACTCTCAGCAAAAGTTAGAAAGGTAAGTTCAAAATAATTGAATTAAACCTATAATAGTATTTCTTATACAAAATTTTGTTCAGGTCCTCCAAGAGTCCACAGAGAGTTACAGTGGCTCTTTCTGCAGGTTACATCGTTATACCAATAGGTGGTGCCAAGTGACTGTCTTTAGTGAGTCGCTGATTTCGATTCATTCACTCGATTCGTTTAAAAACACTGATTCATTCAGGAAAGAATCTCTAGTGCTGGTGTTCTCAACTCTGGAACAAGAGGTCTACTTTCCTGCAGAGTTTAGCTCCAACCCTAATCAAACACACCTGAACAAGCTAATTAATGTCTTCAGGATGACTTGAAAGTTATTGGCAGGTGAGTTTGATCAAGGTTGGAGCTAAAATCTGCAGGAAAGTGGACCTCAAGGGCCAAAGTTGAGAACCCCTGCGTCTAGTGTGTTGAGTCTTTATTTCAAACCCTTTTCGCTGGTCAGAGCAAATACAACGTAAATGGCAACAATTTCTTTAAAGGGGTCATATGATGCTGCTAAAAAGAACGTCATGTGCATTTGGTGTAATGCAATGTGTTTATGCGGTTTAAGGTTAAAAAAACACATTATTTTCCACATAATGTAAATTATTGTTTCTCCTCTATGCCCCGCCTTTCTGAAACACGTCGATTTTTACAAAGCTCATCGGTCTGAAAAGCGAGGTGTGCTCTGATTGGCCAGCTATCCAGTGTGTTGTGATTGGCTGAATACCTCAAGCGTGTGACGGAAATGTTACGCCCCTTACCATACTGTGTTGCCGTGTGTCCGGCATTGGGGACATAATTACAGATTATAATGACTTATACTGTCCCTGACATGGCTGCATCAACACTGCTGCTGTTCCTGAAACCATGCCTTCTTTCTTTGCGTGCACATTTGGGCGGTGTTATGCAAATCTTCCCACACAGTGACGTAGACATGTGGGGGCGTGTTTAAACCAGGCGCTTTAGGAGGGCTTAAAAGTCTTAACTTTTATACATTTTATTTTTAACTTTTATAAACTTTTATTTGAGACTTTAGTCTTTGCAACTTTACAGATCTTCTTTATGCACCAAGAGCTTGTAACACTCCAAAGAGAAAGGAAAAATTGAAATCGCATCATATGACCCCTTTAAAATCTTGTTCATTGAATTGCTGTGTAAAAGTCATATAAAAAACACTTCAGTTTAAGGAATTAAAATAAAACCCTAATAACACTAAATTATGAGCAATAGTAAGTCTAATTCTTGTCTTATCAAACACCACTAATCATTTGTTGACTGACTGGTTGAGCAGAGAAACACAGAGATGGAAAAAGCAGCCCGTGTTGAGTTCTTCACTGATCTCATCCACTCCATTGAGAGATGTCAGACTGAACTGCTGGAGATGATGGAGGAGCAGCAGAAAGCAGCAGAGAAAAAGGAGGAAGAGCTCATTGAAGAGCTGGAGCAGGAGATCACTGAGCTAAAGATGAGAAACACTGAGTTGGAGCAGCTCTCACACACTGAAGATCACCTCCACTTCCTAAAGGTCATTCGACATCTCTCTGATCAATGATAATGCAGTATATGACACTCCTCATGCTGAAGGATTTTTCCTTTCTCCTGCTGTAGATGTACTCATCCCTGTGCAGCCCTACAAACACCAGGAACTGGCCTGAGATCAGTATGAAGACTTGTGTGAGTCTGGAGACTCTGAGGAGAGCTCTGACTCAACTGCAGTACACTCTAGATGAGAAATTCACAAAAACTGGTACGACAATATCAAATACACCATACAGATACATATGTTTATTATTTTTAAATTCAAGTAATGAATAATGAGTCTCAAAGATCTTTTGATGTTTTATTGTCATGTCTCTCTACAGAGCTGAAGAGGATGCAGCAATATGCAGGTACAGTGTGCTGTCAGCACTTCACTCATTTACATTCAGATACTCACAGCTTCTATTCTGCACTACAATCTGATTAAAACTATTAAATATTAAAAACATTGTAAATCTGTGATTTGATGTTCTCTGTTTTCTTAGTGGATGTGACTCTGGATCCTGATACAGCTCATCCAAACCTCATCCTGTCTGATTATAGAAAACAAGTGAGATTTGGAGAGGTTAGTCAGGACCTCCCAGACAATCCAGAAAGATTTGATTCATGTGTCTGTGTCCTGGGAAAGGAGGGATTCTCCTCAGGGAGGTTTTATTTTGAGGTGCAGGTGAAGGGAAAGACTGACTGGGATTTAGGAGTGGTCAGACAATCCATTAACAGGAAGGGAAAGATTGCAGGCAGTTCCAGTGACGGATACTGGATTGTTATTCTGAGGAATGGCAATGAATATAAAGCCTTTGCTGGTCACTCTGTCTCTCTGTCTCTGAGGGTAAAGCCGCAGCGGGTCGGTGTGTTTGTGGATTATGAGGAGGGTCTGGTCTCCTTTTATGATGTGGAGTCCTGCTCTCATATCTACTCTTACACTGATCAGTCTTTCATTGAAAAACTCTATCCATTTCTCGGCCCATCATTTAGCAAAAAAGGTAAAAACTCAGCCCCACTGATCATCACACCTGTCAATTACAATAAATGAATTTGCACCATTAAAATTAAATACTAGATGAGCATAATGCTTTAAATATTTTTGTGCGTCTACACAAAGTATGTGAATATATTGTTATCAAATATGCTAAAATTTTAAATGTAAATAAGTTGAGTTGTTGTTTATTGTCATTCCATATGGACAGACATTCTAAGGAACAAGATATAAGACACAATACAACAACACAAGGAAGAGAGTCAAGTCATCTTTATTTATATAGCGCTTTATACAATACAGATATTATACAATACTGTAAAGCAGCTTCACAATAATACATAGGAAAATGACTGAATCAGTGATGCAAACTTCAACGTTGTCGTGCTTAAAAACAGTAAGAATTAATGTTTCATTCATTCATTCACTCACTCAAGAAACCAAGGGTGTACTCTCACTAGGCACAGTTGCCTTGAACCGAGCGTGATTATCCCCCCTCCCCACACCCCCACTGGCCTGCACTCACAGTTGCACTAAACCAAAGTCCCATTAGGCAAGTCATTTCACTCGGCGGCCATCTTTGAAACGCCTCTCGGGCATGCAAGTGCAGCTCCTATCTCTTTGAATGGGGAAACATCAAATTCTCCAAAACTGTTTGCCAAGTTTAAAGGGTTAGTTCACCTAAAAATGAAAATTCTGTCATTAATCATTAATTAATTGTTTTCTTTGCGCACAAAAAGTATTCTCGTAGCTTCGTAAAATTACAGTTGAACCCCTGATGTCACATGGACTATTTTACCGATTTCCTTGCTACGTTTCTGGACCTGGGAACATAACAGTTGTGTTGCTGTCTATGAAGGGTCAGAGAGCTCTCGGATTGCATCAAAAATATAAAATATAGTTTCTGCACCGAGTCTTTTGCTGCAGTGTTGCCAGGTTTTCAAAACAAAACTCACGCAATTGCTACTCAAAACTAGCCCAATTGCGTTTCGAGGGGGGTTCCCAGGTAAATATCGCATGCTGGGGGGTAAAATACACGTTTTTTTTTTTGGCGGGGTTCCACTGGTTATATTCGCATTTTAGGGGCTAAATGTCACATTACTGGGGCGCTTAAACCCGCGGATATGAAAAACAACCCACAGCAACAGTGTTGCAGTAGCTCAATTCCGTGGGAAAACGTCTCTGGTTACTTGCGTAACCCATGTTCTCTGAGTAGGGAACGAGATGCTGCGTAGCTATGATGCAATGGGAATGTCCTCTGGGTGTGCAGATTATCTGAAGCCCGTATAGAATCACGCCAATTTATTTACCATCCTTATACTGACGAATGCACCATCTGCTCTTCAGATTTCTCTACCGAAAAAGGCCTCTTGTCGGCAACGCAAGGAGCTTGGCAGCAGACGCAGCATCTCCTTCCCTACTCCGAGAACATGGATTATGCAAGTAACCCGAGATGTTCTCTTTCATAGGTTCACTCGACGCTGCTTAGCTATGATGCAATGGGAACGATATACCAAACACGCCAAGCTAAAGTGCTGCCGTATCTGACCCGATGAAGAACCAGATAGTATCCACGGCTGGTTCAAGCAGACAAGACCTGGGAACCAGGAGCCATGTCAAGATCCAAATTATAGAACTTGTTAAAAGTGTGCGGAGAGGACCATCCTGCCACTACACAAATATTCTCTCGGGGGACTCCTCCAAAAAGAGCTTGAGAGGAAGCCACACTCCTTGCAGAATGCGCCCGAATGCTGAGAGGTGAAGAAAACCACGCACCTCGTATGCCAGCGAAATACCGTCCCTAACCCAGTGAGAAATTTTGTGCTTTGATGCGGCAAGCCCACGGCGACCAGCACTAAAGCATACTAACAGCTGTGGAGATTTTCTCCAATGGCTAGAGCGGTCCACATAGAGCCTCAAAGCTCGGACAGGGCAGAGCATGTGAAGTCTCTCATCCTCGCCTGAAGCAAGAGGAGGATGATGGAAAGAGTGAAGCGGGACCACCTGAGAGCGAAATGTGGACAAAACCTTGGGAACATAGCCTGGCCTGGGACTGAGACTTGGCGGCTCAAAATTTTTCAACCACAGAGTTGACTGCCTCCCCAAACAGCCCAGACTGAGAGATGGGTGCATCAAGGAGAAAAACTTTCTTCTTCTCACGGATCTCTGTGAGATTAAGCCACAGGTGGCGCTCTGCAGCCACCGGGCCCGTCATAGAGCACCCTATAGCACCCTATAGAGCTTGGTGGCTCTCAAGGCCAAGTCTGTGGCTCTGAGGAGCTCCTTGACCGCCTCTTGAGTCAGACCGCCGCCCTCGTCCTTCTCCTTAAGGACATCCGCCTGGTAGGCTTGGAGAATGGCCATAGTATGAAGGGCCATGCCTGCCTGACCAGCTGCCATGTAGGACTTCCCGATAAGGGCAGAAATTGTCCTACATGGTTTAGTCGGAAGGAGGAGGCGGGACTTCCAGGAAGGAGCAGAAGATGGCGAGAGGTGCGTGGCCAGCGTATCCTCGATCGCCGGAATGGCGGTATAGCCCTGCTCCACAGAACCCACTAGATTGGTGAAGTCAGTGGCTGCCGCGTTAGTAAGGTGGGTGGAGAATGGCTGCTTCCAGGATCTGGAGATCTCATGATGCAGATCGCTGAAAAAGGGCAGCTTTCTCCGTGCGGGCCTCAAATTTGGGCCACTCAGAAACCGCTCGTCGAGTTTAGACGACTGGAATTCACAGGGCTCGTCGGGCTAATCAATAGAGAGCTTCTCTGAGGCGCGCGCCAGCATGTCTGCAAGCTCTGAGTAGACTGCGGAAGGCCGCGCTTCCTGGTCACTAGGCGGGAGAGCGTTGGCTGAAGCAGGCCCAAAATCCTCGGAGTTGGAACAAAATGTCCTCTAGCCTGAAGGAAATCACATTGCGCGCCTCCGGGCTAGGGCATTAATAATCATGTGTGAATATATATATATATATATACTGTATATGTGTGTGTATGTATATGTATGTATGTATGTATGTATATATATATATATATATATATATGATGCATCAACATTAATTGCACTGAATCAATCTTACAATGTAATGTTGATTCCAAATCACTTTTGAAACAAGATAGTTCACCCAAAAATTTAAATTCTGTCATCATTTAATCGCCCTTAAGTTGTTCCACATCTGTATGAGTTTCTTTCTTCTTTTGAGCACAAAAGAAGATATTTTGAAGAATGTGCATACAAATAATTTAATTCTGTATAATTCTTTTAGTTTAATTTAGTAAAATAAATTATAAAAAATTACTCCAGCTGCATATCTTTAAAACAAAGCTGTTCTTCTGTATATTGCATAAATTGTATTAACAATAAATTGTATTACCCATTTTATGTAATATAACCTAACTTATATAACCCATGTAACTTAGTATTTTATTTTTGTTTTTGTTTGTTCATTTGTATACTATGTGCTGTTGTCAGTATGTAATAAGTATCTCATGGACAAGTGACTTTTTGTTTAATGCAAAATTTTGAATGTAATATTATTAAGTAACGTAAAATAAAAATAAAATAAAATAATTTTAAAAATTTAAAACAATTGTAATATTTATATAAAAAAATATTTGTATAAAAGTATTTAAAGTATTAAAGTATGCTAAATCTTACATAAATTCTGCCTAATTCTATATAAATCTGTAAATTATCTGTAATAATAATAGTAATATAATAATAATTATTATTATTATATTATTAAAAAACGTGAGTAACGTTTTTTAGATAATTTTTTAGATCAGCCTAACTCATTCCCTCTTACATTTTCATTAGTGACTGCTGACAGAAGATCAGCTTCTTTTACTGAAATTTCAGGACACATGAGGGTCCGATGTCTGATGACAGTGGGGTCACAGCAGCACTGATTCAGAGCAGCACACACACGCTCTGAAACTCTTTCTAGAAATGCCCAGACTGAACCAGCATGACAGTCACTAATAAGGAAGGGCCCGTATAAACTGTATAAACCAGGCCTGACCCCCCATAAGGCCTCCCCACCCCTGCCATTAACAACTTGTGTGTCGGCTCCTCCAAACAAGCACTCATTAGAAAACTTGCCTCGAGTCTTTTTCCACTTGTATCTTCAAGCTCGATCACATTATTTGAGTGAGCGCCTTTTGCTCCCCAAATTTTCTAGATCTATTTAGATAACAGATAGCAGGATTTAGTTCCCGTTACTGAATGTTTTTAGTCTGTAAATAGCCGCGTGTAAAGTAAATGGAACAACTATTATTACAAGTGGATGCAAAAAGTGTGAAACTAAACAAATGATTTGATGGAGTCAGTGAGCGAGTGGAAAAGTTAATGAGTGAAATTGTTCGTATGTTTGGCTTTGTTTTATGTGTGAGTTTGTGAGGGTGTCAGTTAAGCCGAACTTCTCTTTTAGCTCGCAGTCATTTTGGGCTGTTGTAAGTGTTGTTGTAACCAAACAGCATCTGCATTTATATCATCCCACTAGTAATCATAAACAAATCAATCAATAAATAAATAACTTGCTGTATAGTTTTTCATCTAATATTTATATTTGATTATATTTCAGCTTTATTTCAATTGTTCCACTAAATTGTATTTAATATTGTTCCACTAAAATCATATTTACCATGAATGGATTAATTATTCTAGTAATGCTGAATGAATGAATGAATAAGTTCTTGTATTTAATTTTACTGTGAAGTATTTATAGATTGCAGTGTTATATTTATAGTTATATTATAGTGTTATTTTATGGTTATATTTATAGTAATATAGTTTATTCATCAGTGTTTTGAATTAGCTTTATTTTTATATTTTCAGTTTCCATTTAAATTGTAGTAAATTTTGTAATTTTGTTATTTGGCTTTTGTAATTTTTATTTATTTTTATTATTATTTATTTAATTTTGTGATTTTTTTTAATATTACTACTTAGGTTGATTTTTATTTCAGTTTTAGTTTTTATATTTAATTAGTAATTTTAGTGCTGCAACTTAAACTTAATTTAGGTAGTTGCCAAGTCAAAAATGTTTGTCTAATATTTATATATATA